AGACCAGATTAGGATGAACAAACATACTGTTTTAGCAGTTTGACACGTTTCGGTTTTTCTGCCTCAATCAGTTTTCTCTTAATGATAGCTCCCTGCAAGCTCTCACTGAGAAGTCTACTAATTTTGGCACAAAGTCACCCGAAGCCCACAGGCAAGTTGGTCTATCACTCGCTGAGTCAAATCCTATGTGTCAAACTATGTTACAAGGCAACTCAGTATCTTCTCTCCAGTTTTAGCCTTAAGTTTTATTTTTCCTCTGCTATGCAGTGTAGCTGTTTACATACAAAAGTGCTTTTCCTAGAGACTGTTCAATAATTTCCCTGAATTTGCTGCTACTAATATAATATCTAATGCAAAGCTAAAATTAACAAAAATCTGTTGTTTTTACATTAAACTATTGTTCTCTTAATCTGGCTTTATAATCTTTTATTCAGCTTTCGTTTTGAAGCACAAACCTGCAGACATGCAGTAAACCTGTAACCAAACCACGTTAAAGAGGAACAAGTGCAGCATGTTGTACCAGCAGCAGTCTCCAGGAAATAGTGCATTACCTTCCTGATGTTCAGCTGCACCAGCACAGCAACACTCTCCCTCACACACTTCCATCACACTACTGTGCTGGTCCTACCTGCCTCTCACATTCCAGCATCTGGAAAAGAACATAAAGCAAATTACAACAAATTTTACTGATTGAAGTATTTGAAATAAAACAGGGAATGACTGTACAGTACAATGGATGATAGTGAAAAGTATCAAGAAGAAATATTGCTGAAATACACAGAGAGGCATTATTTTCCATGTAACAATGCAGGAAGACATTTATTTACAGAGTAATATATTGTAGAATTAAACAAGAACTAATCAAATATGACCTAATGTGCTTTGGAACAGTGATTTTCTTCCTCAAAATCCAGGATGTGTTTCATTGGAGCTATTGCTAAGAAGAAAGCTTCTTACTCCTTACATCTTAACGGGAGAAATCAAATTATTCTCCAAAAAGAGTCATTAATAGATCATTAAATCTGATAACAGATGTATTTCACATCAGCTTGAATACTAAAATTCTTCAATTACTACCTTTCAAAAGGAGGCAAGGTTTTGGAAGTTGCAGATTGCCAATCACTGTTTAATTTTTAGTCCTTTCTTTTTGTGTACATGCAGCTGCTGAGAATCAAAAGTTTTTTTAGAAAGCTCACAAATATAGCCGCTTATTTGGATTAGGGAGGGATGAGCAGCTGAGCTGGAAATTGGAAGTATTGTGCTAGTTTCAACTGATTTAAAGTCAAATGCAGCAGGTCTTTGTTTCTTTTCTTTCATTAGTTGTGTTCTTTATTAACTTCCTAGCAACTGCATAGCCTTGTCACACATCATGACGTTATAAATTATGTTTTGTTATGAAATCAGTGATGCTGTGTCTTGACAGTGTCATGGTTATTCTGAATCCCAGGGACTAGTTAGGCAGGGCCCTTTTTTTTAATAGTTGGATAATATTTACTCTGGCATACAGCTTGAACAGAATTTAATTCAAGGTCCATCAATATGGAAAACATCCTTGTGAAGGCTTGACTTCTCCATACTGAACTGTGCCTGCATGTGTGGCATATAGCATAGTGACACACATTCACATTGGGACAGGTTGGAAAGACACTGCCTTGTTTTCCAAATATATTATTGCCTGCAAAGAAAGCAAAACCTCATTTTGAGCCTAGTTAATAGGGATATTTGCCAATGTAGACAAGCAGATACTACTTAATACTCTCAGCTTTTCCTACACATAGTTCTTACTGTGAACAGGTGTGTGGGGATCTTTGTTCCTGAAACCAGACTAAATGAAGAAGTTCCAGTTGAAGTCAAAGCAAATGAAATCCTTTACTCATCCCAGCTATTTGCTGTCTAAGAGCTGGGGGGAGTGGAAATGGCAGTAAGTCCTCACTGAGGAAAAATCCTCTTCTGTTCTGCTCCAGAGCAGAGACTTCTGCATCTACCCCACATCTAACACCACTGTGTGTGCTCCTCCTGATTATCAGACTTCATTTTTATGGTATCTCAGCACTTCTGTGTTGCTCTAAAAAATGCTTGTTAGCAGAGAATTTGCTTTTAAAATATATGAACTCAGCACACCCCAAGAGACTATTTCCAGTCAAGCACTACTGGTTGTTTACAGTTCATTTAAGAGTGTTTTATTGTAGCAATGAAGGTTAGTTTGAGGTATTTTTCTTTCTTTCAGCTCTGTCAGTGGGCATGGGAGGGCTGCAGTAAGGCAGCCACCGGGTCACTGTGTATCCCCCTCTGCTCAGAGCTGGTCTGTTGAGCTCTGTAGGTCAGGGTAGACAGGGACATGTCTAAACTGCTGAATGTTTCATGAGCATCCCTTTGCTTTCCAGCTGGTGAGCACAGGTTGCCATGCAGAAAGTGGGTTGGGAGGCAGACACAGCTGGGCAGTGTGGTGGACCCAGCTCTCCTGACTAGGTGGTGACTTGCCACGCACCTCAGGTACCACACACACGGAGGCTCTGTGGGCATTTCTGCCCTGCACGGGGGCCCGCTGGGCTCTGACCTCTGCACTGCTGTGGGGAGGTAGGAGGTCAGAGGCTGCTTGCATAGCAGAGGGGACAGCTGCTCACCTCCCTTCCCAGGCAGGTGGGACAGCAATGGAGGCAGCAGTCATTCCCTCCCCTCCTCCAGACACTGCTCAGATGAGCAGAGTATGACCTGGGGGTTGAAGTCTGTTGTAGGAAAAAGCCTTAGATGGCTTTTTTCCCTAAACGGAGGCAGGGATCAAGAGTCTGAGTCTGCTCACATTTCAGGTCCTTTTGTCCTCCTTGGAAAGTATCTCTGTGCTGTCTCTCTGTCAGAATAGATTGAAAGGTACATATGCAGCCCTGTGTAGTGCCTTTCTAATACAGTGAATTCTTAACTTTAATAATACATCAGTGTAATGTGAGGAATCAGACTTGTCTTAGGAGGAGCTCTCTGGACTTTCCCGAGTCCAGCTGAGAGCAGTGCATTCCTGTGCACAGCACAGTGGCTCATATTCTAAAGCTAGCAGTTCAGGTTGAGAGGAACTCCCATCATCATCACACACCCCAATCCCTGAGCTGTGGGAGGCAGGCTGTTCATTAGCTTTGCATTTTGGCCTAACTATGGCCTAAAAATGCAAAGTGAGTAGAAGTTGTGAAATTACTATATTGTAACTACCACTGCTGTTCAGTTTGACTTGAATTCAGGTCTGTGTTCTCATCTGTATTACCTGGTTTGTTGCACAGTATAATTGCCAGATTCATCCCAGTGACTTTTTTTGTATAAAGTAAGATCTGTTTGCTTTAAAGTGATACACAGTGTTTTATGTTCTTGCCTATTTTTGTTTCACTAAATATTGTAAGGTATAAACATCCACAGTTTTGTTGCTGTCATCAACAAAGTCAGTTTATCCCCTTATGTTGTTCCAACTGGATATGTTTTACTGAATATTATTTAAAGCATCATAAAATACCAGTATAAAGATACTGTATCAGCATTTTCTGTTAAGTGAAAAAAATATTCCTGTCCCCTTCATATCCTGCTAAAGGACGTTTTTTTTTTTTTTTTTGACAAATTGCAAAACTAGTCAATGCATTACATATTTACTTAGGTGTGAAATTGTACAGGGTTTTTTATGCCACTTTGATTTTCATTCAATTTTATATGTAAAAATTTGAGAAAAAAAGAAGTCATTGTTTGATCTTGTATTTCACAGATGCCAGTACACACTCAGACTCCTGCTATTTCCTAAGAAAAGCAATCTGTCTGTTAGGCTTTTAACTCTGCTCCTTTCCTGTTCTGAATTGGGTGACAGACCTCCTGCTTTGCTAAAACCGTCACTTTGCTACTAAATTCCTTCTGGTATGATAGGGTGGAGCTCAAATGAGACAAAATCCAGTGGTCTGTGTCCTGCCTTCTGTTTTTTTCATTGACACTGGCTAAAGAATTGTGACAGATACGGTATAAGTAGAAATGTTTATTTGTTTTTAGAGACATACTGACGACAGGAAATGCAATCAGAAACCAGTAGCTCAGTCCTGACTAGCAGCAGTATGTTTAGAAAGTCAGATGTATAAAATGGAGTTAAATACTTCACATATTTTAGTGTAGAAAAATACATTGTGAATTCTGGAAGATTTATTAACTGTATACTGTGAACATAACTGGTGTAACAAAGCCCTTACTTTCTGTAGTTTAAAGGTTGATACAAAAGGACCTTTGTTTTGTAATGACATTAGTCTTGATTTTCCAGGGATTTCTGCCATTCAGATCTAGCAGAAGAAAAAAAAAAATCAAATGTGAGAAGCTGGACACATAGTCAAGGAAATCATACCATCCTTGGGAAATTGTTACATAGTCTTACTGTTTAAAAGTGTATTTTAGAAATTGTGATAAATGTTGCAGGGGGCATTGCAGTAAATAGCATCTCTGGATTTACAATTTAATATGTACTATGATTGGAGCAGGTGTAGGCTATGTATTGAGATGCTGTTAATTTCTTTGTATAGTGATATGTTAATAGATGCTCAATTTTTAAGTAAATTGTGGCAGTGAATGATTTGACTCTTACATTTGCCTTAAACTCCATTAAGAGGAAAGTCACATTTTGAGCAATGTGTGTATCCATAGAAATCTCTGTTAAATTTGCTGCTCAGAACCTCCTGCTGCTCAGAAGAAAGTCTTTGAGAGACTCTCTCTCCAGAGGAAATCTATTGATTTACATTAAGGGATTTTGAAAGACTACTTGTCACTATCTGTTTTGGTGTTTATTTGTTTTCAGCCTGGAAAAGGTAGCTACAGATGAACAAAGGAGCCCTTCAAAGCCTTTCCGGCAGAAAACATGTCTTAACATCATTGGAAACACAGTAACAGGTTAAGACTCCAGAGCATTGGTCTTTCTTTAGCTGAAGCATCTATTAAAATAGCTGCTTCTGGTAATAAAGAGGGAGGTCTGAGGGCTCTGAGCGGAGTGACGGAGAGGGAGGGGATTTAGGACTAACAGGTGGTCCTGAGACGTGCTGGCTGCCGCTGAGCTCAGAGCCAGCGCTGCTGTGGGTGTTCGTGGGCTCTCCTCTCTCCTCTGGATACGTGTGCAGAGCTCTTGTTCCTGGGGTAGCAGTGGAGCCCTTTCAGCCATGGCAGTGAGAAATGATCTGAACAAAACCATCAGGAGGATAGCACGGTTTTTTTACTGGTTTCCTAAATCATTGAGCAGTTCGAGGAGAAGGACGGTAAAACTTCTCTGGAAATCTCCTGGTAAGTCTGCTGCTATTTTTCCCCAGATTTTTTCCTGCTAAACAAAACAAAACAGAAACAACAAAACAAACAAACAAACAAAAGGGGGGAAAGAAACCTGTTTTCTTTGAACTGGTTAATTTCTCCAGGCCAGAATTGTTTGCAATTTTTTCATTCTTGGAGGCTCATTAGGCAAAACTGTCAAAATATTCTGGAAAAGCAATAGAAGGTTCATCAGGCTTGTTCTGACAAAGAGTTCCTTTTCAGCTGCATAATTCATTCACATCACTGATATTTGGTATCTTGTTTTTGCTGTGTTTCTCCCTTAGGTATGTATATAGGTGCTCTAATATGACTCAAATAATTGCCTGAAAATTATTTAGAATTGCCTTGAGCTGTTCATTGATCTAGAAGGCTGTGCAAAGACTGAACTGACTAAAGACTTTAACTCATTGTACCATTGTTCACACAAAGTGATGGGCAGCTTAGAGGGGCTTATGCTCAGCAGTGATGCACTTGCCTTCTCTTCCATTTTATCAGCTGAAATGCAGTACAGCTCAGCTCACCAGTTATTAAAAGGCATTGTTCCTCACAGCATCTCAGTGCTCTGATCGTTGTCCAAGCCTGGCAGAAAAGTGCATCTCTCAGATTAACATTCTCATAAACACCCTTACAGTCCAAATACTGTTTTGTCCCTTTAACATGGTCTGTGAAGGCTGGGGCTGAGGCATGTTCTCAGGGGGTTGGAAGAATGTGCACTGCCATAGTGGGGGAAGCCAAGTTCTTTATGTTCTTCTTAAGGGACTAATGGTACAAGGTCAGATTTCTTTTGATTGGGACTCTTTGGAACAGAATGGTGAACTTGTCAATTCTGCAACATTAATAACAAGTTTGTATTTGCATGGCATAGACTTTGGGTCAGTTCCACAGCTGAGCAGTTTAGAGTTGTACTTGAGACAACAGATCTGTGACTCTTGAAAGGGGATGTGCCATCTGAAGTCTGTCACAGCAAGGTCGTTAGGCCCCGTGCCTAAATGACACATGACTTCTTCCCAAAGGAATCCACAGATTTCAAATATTCAGAAGGAAATCTCGGGACATTGAAGTTTGTATGAAACTTTCCTTGATGAATCTAGAGTTTTGAACCTTTCTTGGAATACTGGTAATCTCAGGTCCTCCTAATACATTCAAATCATCCTGAGTCCTCCTAACACGTCAGATAATTCCTGCATCTCCTTTATTAATTATTGATAGTAAAAACTATCAGTAACTTCTATTGAGAGCTTTAATTGCTAGCTGGGTTACACACGTGTGAAAATGTTTGCATGCCAGTTATCTTTTACCCCAGTATTGCAAAAAAATAATTGTATCCATGACTTGTAACAAGAAAAAAGGTGAACTCTGAGTGCTTTAAAAATAATGCTTTTTTGTGGGTTGCCTTCCTTCTCCCTCTACATCTGGTGGTTTGAATAAAATTTACCTTTTTATTATCATTTTAGTGTATGTTTTAGCACCTCTTTTGAACTGAATTTGTAAATATGTCTGAAGTGCCCTAAAAGCCCTTTGCTACCTGTGCAATGAGATATTTGTCACAAAATTGTGGGTTTGATGGAATTGTGTCATTTCAGTGGAAGGCTGAGTCCAAGCAGAAAAAATCTCAGCATTAAAATTCAACTCGAATTTCTTGCAAGTTTACAGAAGCCAATCTTATAAACTGGAAGCTGAACTGCTGATGCTCCTCTCACAGGGGAGGAGACACAGCTCCTGATTGCTCTTTAGTCTGTACAAAGACAGCAAGTTACACCTGTTAGTTAAACCTTAGCTACCCTGACGTCCACAAACAGTTCTGCATTTTTCTTCAGTGTCCAGAATTTCCCTTTAGTTTTTGGTGAATTACAAAATTACCCATTTTCTCAGCTTCCTCGACTCTGAAACATCACAGTTCTTTACCAAGGTGCCCTTCTGTCCTTCTGAGAGAGTTATTCAACTCAAAAGCCTACGCTGAGCAGTATTGACAATCTACCCTGAGCAGTATTGACCATCTACCCTGAGCAGAATTGACTACCATCCCTTGGTACACAGAGATTTACCCTTGCTTCCTAGAATCCAACAACTTTTTGCTGTCTTTTCCTGGTAGGTTTTACTCCAGGACTGTCACTAACAGAATTTTTTTATTCAGGATGAGCTAGGACCCAAGATGACCCAGTAGAACAATTCTGTGTCACTAGGCTTGCCCCATGGGTGAATAACTAGCTGGCAATTAAAGCTTTCAGTAATACTTACTGATAATTTTTAGCCACATGTGCTTTAATAATAAATTAACATTTTAACAACAACAAAAGAGAAAATTTCATTATTTGGACATGTTAGGAAGGTCATATGTTCTCTGTTATGCTTTGTCATAGATTTTGTGTGATCTCATTCATTATGTAAACCAAGAGATGGGCACTGTGCCTCTGCATAGTACCCTCAGACTTGCTGCTTTTGTTCTGCTGCTATCGCGCCATGTCTCAGGATGCCTTGTCCTCTCTGCTTGACCCAGAAACAAAATCTGCTGAAGCACAAGATTATTTTTTAAGTATAACAATTAATTTAGTATTGTTGTAGGTCACTGTGTTCAGAAAGGTGCATTTGACATAATTTTAGAAAGAGCTGTCAAGGCATAATTAGGTTGCTGTTCCAAAAAATGTTTAGCTTTTCAGCCTGTCCTTGGATGAGCACTTTGGGATTGTTGGCCACAGACTTTGGCCTACAGCTAATGTGCTCCTTGCAAAGCTCTAAAAGAAGGAAGAAAATTTGTGAGTGTTCTTCAGTCACTGATTTTGATTAAGTTACTTACTGAAGGATTAAAAAATGTCTTAGACATGGTTCAGAATATACTAAATATAGCTGATAATCTTTTAACTGCATTTAGTTTGATGAAGCGTACATAACGTAAGAGGTTTAAACTGAGGTATGTAGATTTTAGGGTGCTGGAGCCTTCATTTCTTAGAAATATGTTTGAATTTTTCCTACAGCATCTTAGGAGAATTTATGCTGGCACATCATGTGACTAGAAATTTTATCATAATAAAGTATGTATGTACAGGGAGAGATATTGAAAGACAAAGGAATTAGAAAAAATATAATGAAGAGCTGTAATAAGACTATAGAATGATACAAAAATTCAAAATAGACAAGTAACTCCTGTTTTCTCTGTCTTATAGCAGAGGAATAAGGTGAGGGGTGACAAATACAAAGCAGATAAAAGGATTTTTCAAAATTATTTTTTATTCAGTATGTAATTAAATTGTAGAACTCATTACGAGAGGATGCTGCTGAGGTCAGGAATGTAACGAGATTTAAAGAGAGTCTGGAAAAATAAGAATATTCAATATTATGATAATTGAAGCTACAATAAAAGCTTTGAAAGCCACATAAATCTTCTTGCTTAAAGGTTTAAGATGATTTTTAACAATTAAGGATTAGTCTGAGATAATTTTGTGGCTCAGATCTCACAACTGTTACTCTTTCATGAGTTTCTCCTTAAGCAACTAATGCACTCCCCTGGAAGAGATAATTTTATGATCTGCATTGATTTAAACCTTTATGATATTTTTTAGGCTTATATAGAAAAAAACAGGGAGCTCTTCTGAGCTCTCAGGACTGTTTTTCTGTTTTCCATGTCATCTGTGAACTTGAAACTTGTTTGTTACCAATTCCAGCAAGAAGAGGGAGTTTGTTAAGTCAGATTTTAGACATGCTCAGAAGAGAATCCCATATTATCCTGTGGAAAACATAAAAAGCATGATGCTTGCTGATTTTTTTTTAATTTTTTTTTTTTTTTACTTTGTAAAACTTCCCCATGGGCAAACCCTGCTTGTTCTGCAGCCATTACAATAAGTAAATAACTACAGAAATCAAGTCTGTCTGAGGTGGGTAATTTTGTGTCCTGTTTTTTGCCAAATTCTGCTGGCTCATTAAGACCTTTATTCTCAGCTCTCTTCTGGTGAGAATTCTCATCATTTTGAGCTACTGTTTCTACTAGGTACTTTGGAAGGTTCTTTCAGAGGGCAGAAAGTGAGAATTTATTGACAGAATTTAAAACTGATTATATTTCAAGCAGCTGGAAGTTGATTTCTACCCTTTGCTTTTCATTAACATTTTTTGCAACTTTTCTGCTCTATTGAGTTACTCCTTTAGTCCTTTTTAATGTTAAAGTTAGAATATTTTTATTAGTTTCAAACAACTTTTGGTAAGAATGGCTAAGCATCCAATATAAAATTACATTTATGTAAGACTATGTGTTATAGAAAATAAATGGAAATCTTTACATGGGTATGACGACATGCTTTAAACTTGCTACCTCCTCAAAGATAATTATTTAAAATATAAAGCTTTGACTGATCATGCAGTACAAAAATTCAACCTTTCAGTGCTCTCTTCAAAATATATCCAGCTAATAAATCTATAACACATATGGGATGGGAGGACAATGTTAATTCAGTATGTCAACTAAGATTGTCTTAGGTTAAAATATTTGTAAATTAATTTTTTTGTTTTCATATTTGACCAACTAACATATGATGGCTTATGCTATAAGTGCCCACATCCTTCTGTGACCTCTTTAACTGGATTATTCTGGCAATAGTTTGGGTATGTAGAGGTAGCATACCTTGTCAAAACCCAACTGGTGAAAGCCGTCGCCTCCCTGTCCCCCTGAGGCCAGGGGTGTGTGACACCTATGCAGTCCCTATGGTCAGGCCTGTTGTCTCCTGCATGGATACTGTAACTTTCCAGTGAGCACCTATACCTCCTGTGTTTTGAGCTGAAAAAAGTTCTCCTGGTCATCCCCACAGTTCACTGGAGCCCTTGCAGTATCCGGGGTCAGTGTGGCCCTTTCAGGCTGAGCATGCAGAGCTTGCAGAGGGGTTCTGAGAAGTAGAGCAGCCACCTCTGGGAAAGGTGGAGAGAGTTTTGTCCTAACATAGGTGATAGAGCATAGAGGAATTTGGGAACTGTAGCTCTGAAGCTGTACATTT